ACACAATCTTTTCTTTTCGGTTGGTTAGTCTAGACCAAGACCCAGACGACCATCGTTGTAGGAAAGTGGTTCGCATAAGATGTAGGAACGTAGCTACTACGGGACCGGGCAACGGTCGACTTACTCGCGTCGCATGCAAACCTGACTGTCAATCTAGTTGGTTAGTCATATAAACTAAAACGATCGGTTGCCCGGCAATACAAGAAGTCTCGAACAGGGAGCCAAGGTGCCCATGATATCTTTCCCGGGCGGACAATTGACCGGGCGGAGTCCACTCTGTCTCACGTAGATTTACTTAACGGCTGCTTCGTTAAGTTAGGCGACATAACCGGAATGAAATTGCAACTTTACGCTGTTCACGGTTGTCCACTTCTACTTCAACGAACGCCTAACACACCTCATGGGAAAAGTTCTACTGATTAGGTCACTTTTCTGCCTGTAATAGTACGGCCACCCCCCTCCACGCCGCCCTCCCACACACAACACACACACACAGATAGTCTCCCAAGGTCACACTCATCTGTGGCCCATAGCGGTGACGCTTACTGTTACTCGTAGGTAATCTAGTAACTCTGAACGGACGCCTCAAGGAAGTTCCGTGGCTGACCCCGGAGAGAAAAACTTATAAGATGTAAGCAGTTAGAAGCCTTTGTTCTCTTGATTCTATGTCATTAAGTAAGTCACAACCCCTGATTGCGCAATTTTTGATTGCGCAATGACACTTGCCGGTGCGTTGATGGAAAACCGCATTGATTATTGCAATGAATCAATGGATAGGGTAATTCATTGTGGCAACTATCAATGAGACTAAATTATACCCCGAATGACGCAATAGTAATACACTACCTTGACTTGGCTTAGAGGGACGCCTACATTTGAATGTCCGCTTATGTCGCTAACAGGAGAGTGTCCGTGGTTACCTTTTCACTTTCATTGGTACTCTCCTCACTACTAACCCAATTGCGCCCATTGCAGTCAGGCTTCTAAAACTATTTCGGTTATGTCCTTCTGAAATGCGTAGTGCATGGTCCGAGAAGGACAAACAAATCAACGTAACACTGCAATATTACAGATCAACAACACAGATACCATTCTCATTTATTCATTTTATATACATTTTATTTATATAATTAAATCGATTTTTTGTTAGTTTTATCTGAGTGTTCCAGGGTATTCTCTGAATACCTTGAAGGCCCTGACGGTTCGCCACTGGGCATTCGTGGGCCTTATGCAACAAAAAAAAAATACCGTAAGTATCAGTTTGGGATAGGTCAGTTCTTGTTAGCCACTCTCTGGGAAATACTTGCGACCACTTGCGATTTCACCATAAATACTTAATTCAAAGTGTCAAGTGTCTGTCTGTTAACTTTATTTCCAGACTGTTGTTACTCTGTATGCCGTCAGTGATGGCACGGCTGCAAATTGTCATTAAATAAGAGCAGAGAGAGAACCGGTGCTCCATTAATCTACTTGTTCGACCTGAATGGATCCGACAGCAGCAGCAGCAGCAGCAGCTCCTCTTCCCTGTGCTGACAGGAAGTGTGTGTGTCGCAGTGAAACACAGCAGAGCGAGGCCTCAGTTTTATTGAATGGGTGCTCTGGTATCGATTCTTTTCTGGGAGACCTTGGCAGGCAGCGTGGGCGAACCGGTCCATTCATCTGAGTGATAATACCTCCACGCTCTTACCTCACACTTGTTCAGCTTCCTTCGATCCTTGCTCAGGTGTTTTGTTGTATGGTCGAAGATACGTTTTTTTTTTCTTACTCCTAATAACTGCTACATTTTTCTCCATCCATCCCTTCAGATATCTTGATCTCACATGTGGAGGTGAGAGAAGTACTCAGATATTTTACTTAAAGAGGACGTATTATGCTCCTCTTCAGGTTCATTTTTGTATGTTGTGCCTCGACTGTGACGTGTTTCCATGCTTTAAAGGTGGGGTATGTAATTTAACACTTTGTTATATTCCATGGAATGCTCTTAACATCCCGATAGCAATGAACACATTAAAGCTTTGACAATAAATACATTAAAAAATGTCATCTGTGGAAGCCGTAGCGCTGTAAAAAACACGACCAATTTTTTCCGGTTGTATATTTTTTAATTCTAGCGCATTCAAAATGACCTACCCCACCTTTAATGTTCACAAAGTGCTTTATTTTTCTCAAACGGCCTGTGTTTTTCAATCTCTGTCTCTATATAACACACTACAGGAGAGGGAAACCCCCTAAAGGCATAATAGGGCCTCTTTAAGTCAAAGTAATTATACCACAGTGTAGATATACTCTGTTACAAGTAAATGTCTGGCATTCAAAGTGTTAAGTAAGTGTAGTTACTTTCCACCACTGCTCAGATGAGATATTTCCCTTTACAATGAAGCTTAATATATCTAAATAAAGTTGAATCTGCTTTCAGAGTATTGCTGATGTCGCAGAATTTTAATGATGGTAGATCACAGTAGGTGGTTGCTAATTTTGTAATACCCTGAAATCATATTTCAGCTTTCAAAAAGAGCGATAAAAGAAAGCCTCTGAAAGAACACTAAGAACTAAAGCTTTGCAAACAGAATGTAACCTGCAGGAGGTTTTTGGTATTAAATCTTGCTTAAAAAGTTGCTGGGGGTCATAACATGTTGAATATGCACAACCTCATGTAATGATTTGCATATTAAAAGTGTATTTAAAGGGATCCTGTTATGCTTTTGGGAGTTTTCCCTTTCCTGTAGAATGTTATATAGGTTTTAGTGCATGTAAAGGGTCTGCACAGGCTAAAATCCCACAGTTTCTCTAAGAGTACATCCACATTAATCCGGATATACACTATATAGAAAACAATATTTCTGTTTTCAGCCCCCCATTCTCACTTACCCTATCATGGAGCACTTTAAACATGTCTCCAAAGAAAAACAGGTACAAAATCCTAGCCTTGTCTTTCATTGTTATCCGGGAAAAGTGAGCTTTTACAACAGGAAACAGGGCTGATAGCAGGCCATGAATCTTTCTACCTGCAGGTAAAATGGATATTTTCCGAGCAGAGGGCGTTTGTTTTCCCGATAACAGCCTGTTGGACAAATGGGCTTTTGGCTGAATGGGACATTTTGGGACTACTGGGGTGTTGGGAGTAATGGGCCATCAGAACAATTGCATGTCACTTCTGGTTCAGGGGCTGTGTGTCGTGGTGAATAACTGGAGAAGAGACAAATGCTTTTCTAAACGTTCCTCCATTTAAAACTCAGTATGGCTGACCACACGGTACAGCTCCTGTCCGGATTTTGTCAGAAGACAGAGTGATCGTAAAATACCTTTCAAAGTCAAAGTCAGCTTTATTGTCAAAATGTCCACATGTGTTATACATACAGAAATCTCGAGATACCGTTTCCCGCAAGTGAGACACATAAAACAAGATACAAAAAGGGCCTAGATAAACGGGGTATACAACTGAGTAATAGTATTAATAAGTGCTCGTTAATAATATATATAAAACACAGCCCACAAAACTTTACGATGATGTCACCGCTGAAGAGCAGCTAGGGGATAACTGCTGATTAACTGGCAGTATTTATTAGCCACGATTAAATCACATCACCGAACAGTGTACTACATAATATGTGAATGAGAGCGACTATATGGATTACAACAGTTCAAGAGATGGGGAACTTAATTAGCCGAGACTAAGAAGACTAACTGGACGAATCAGTCCAACTCTTCGCTGAGACAGATTTAAAATGTATTTGGTGTTTTGTTTGCAGTTTGCCAGCTTGAATGAGGCAAAGAGAGGGAAGAGCCTAGAGAAGTGATGATTTTGTGTCTCAGTTGTCATTCTAGGCGTCTTTGTAGTCATTTTGAGTCTCTATAAGCTTGTATTGAGTCTCTTTGGTTCATTTATTGTAGGTTGTTTAATCTCTATGAGGTTGTTTTGTGTGTCCTTGTGGTCATTTTAAATGTCCTTATTTTTCTTACATGTCTTTTTGAGTGACATTTTGTAGTTGAGGTTCCCCTTATTCCCTGTGCCCTGAAGGACTGTTCAGTGACCAATCCATGCCTGTTAAAGCAGTGGATGCATCTTTAAAAATAACACGGCTATGCGGGACAATAATCAAACTAGGTCTTTTGTTCAAGCTGCGGTAAACTCATCCATCTGCCCCAAAGGTTTCTATGTATGCGGCTGTTCAGACAGAGAGAGAAGAGGATTGTATGGAGAGGATCCAAACACCGGAATATAACTAAGATATTTAGTGAACAATTACGTCCAATTACGACCTCCACAGCTAATGCTGTTTGAATATGATATAAAGAATTATGTTATTGTTGTGATCTGTGCTTGTATCACATTTCGTTTTTTTTATTTCTTTTACATTTTTCATGTTGTATAAATATTTTATCCCTGTACATGACTTTGTTAAATTTCCACATCGAGACTTTAAAGTACATACGTTTTTTAAAATATTTGTATTTCTATATGTTCTGAAACGTTAACATTGTAGTTACTGTGTCACAATATTTGAGATCTTTGACCCAAAAATGCTTTTTTAAAAGGTCCCATGTCATGGCCATTTCCACTGATCATAATTCCATTGTTGAGGTATACTAGAATAGATTTAAATTGTTCAATGTTCCAAACTCACATTGGTTTCTCATTCAGCATCTCTGTGTGGTATGTGCATTCACTCTCTGTCCTAAACGGCTGCTGTGAGGAGCCGACAGGTTTCCTGGTCGGCGAAACAGCGAGAATAATCAAAACTCATCCTGAGCACACACAAACACTCACAGCCGAAGTAAAAACAATAAGTGTGGCTTGATATTGAGTAAGAAAAAGGTTTATAACGCTGTGAGAATGGGTCTGCGGAGAGCCATCCCAACTCGTCTATTACCAGCGTTCAGGGAGCTCTATGCAAATCAATGGGACTCCCTGTTAGTTAGCCAAGGGGTCCTGGTGTGTGAGGGGCTCCGCGGATTGGTCCATTTGGGCCAATCCGGTCATTTGTTGTTGATTTGGGTGTTCACACGTCACAGAAACCAGGAAGCAAACAATGGAAAAATAGAAATCCCCAACGAGGCGTTCTGGGGCAGCATAGACAGGTCTTCTCTGTGTTAGAGTTTTACTCGCTACAGGGTGTACTTTGAGGGTTTGTGACTCTGCAGACCGTTTACATGCTTCATAACACACAAGGGGACGGGTAATAACCGGAAAAGCATGACATGGGCCCTTTAACAGTTTATGACTTTTAACAATTACATTATAAAAAAAGAACTAAAATCAGCATCAGCCAGCGTTCCTGTATACGTACATCAAAAATACATATACACTCTACGTTTAAAAGCATGACTACCATCAGGCCATATGAGGTTCTTTAGGGCTACATTTCTGTCTTAGAGAGGGTACTATTGGGTTTGTTAAGACGTCTGTATACCTTGTGTTTTTAACGCTTGTCTCTTTTTCTTTCAGTATGGAGGATCCCTTCGATTCAGATGAGGAGCAGGATAAAGAAGAAGGTACTGTAAGACATAAATGAATAAATATTAATATAATAGATATTTGTATATCATGGTATATGATTGAAGCAGTAATCCGCAAGTATTGCACTTCCATTTAGTTGGGAGTTATGACAGCATAATTAATACTTTTAGTGGCCAGTATGTAATGAAGGGTTTCCAGGTGGTCTCAGAAATGCCTCCGATACAGCCTACGAACATACGCACTGGTTATATATCATGTTTTAAAATGTCAGCGTAACACAGAGGCAATACTTCCATCATCAGCTACTAACCGTTTCCGAAATCAATGATGGGATCAAATAACATCCATACAAGAAGTACTGTAGGGATAAACAGCTGCTTAACAAATACATCATATATGTATAAGAAAGGCTGAAGTGACGCAGCCTTTCTTTAAATAGAATTAAAGTCTTAAACCTTAGGTCCTGATCCGACGCACTGAAGTCATGACGTACATGTTTTCATCTGTGGAGTGCCCCTTTAGTGACTCACACACTGCGGACTAATCATCCTCTCAGTGTGTGATTATCTGTTTTCCATCAGCAGAAGAAGCAGGGTCCTCCAGGTCAGCTCTGAACAGACCCCCACCTCTCTGCCCGGTCATCATACAGCCCGAGATCGACATCGAGGTGAGTGTAAAGAAAGGATCTGCATTAAAGGAAGTACGTGGGGTGTCCAAACTACGGCCCGGGGGCCAAATGCGGCCCGCGGACCATTTTGAATCAGCCCTCAGCAAATTCTAAAAGTGTAATGAAATATGGCTAACAAATTAAACGCCTGCTATTGAACTTCTTAAAGGTCCCCTAGTATACTGTTTTTCATCAATATATTACAGGTCTCAGATATATACAGAGCCTGTCTCTGATTGGCTGAAACACCAAACAGATCATTGCAGCATTACCCATAATCCCCTCTGTTTCAGCCCTGTTTCCAAAGTGCTGATTCTCTGTCTGTTACTTTAGATGAAAATAAGGAGCCCCTCCCCACGCCCCTCTGAGAGAGATTTGAGGAGATTCAGGTGA